CTACACCCTCCTGTTGGCGATGGTGGTGAGAATCAGGAGCCAACACCATGCCCTTTCCTTCCTCTGTACTGTGTGGCTTGTGGTGTTTTTCTCGCTCTCTTATCAGTTTGTTCCAGTATCTCTTCTCCTTCATGTTCCTCTTTTCAAGTGTGCAATCTGAGAAAGTTGGTTTCAGGAATTATGCATGCCCCTTCCTGTTTTGTGATTCTATTTTTGACTTCGTCCTAAGGCCAATTTTGATTATGAGTGAACTAGCACACAAACAAGATGTATTAAAATTTGCTTTAAAAATATGTGCCCAGCTCTGTTCCAAACAACTTAATACATAACAGTTAATAAAAAAACTTTTATGTTACTATTAACGTTATCCCCATTTTAAAGTTGAAGGAACTGAATTATAGAGAGATGAAGCAACTTGTGCAAGATCAAAAACCTTGAAGAGCCAATACTTGAACCCAGGTATAGCTCCCTCACTGTCTATTGTAATCTCCATCTATCCCTAGGGTGCAAAATAGTATATGGGTTTCAGGTTCACCAACTTTACCAGTGAATAATAACAGTTTAAACGTTTTCAATTACACATGCTCCATCATCCCATGGCTTACCCCACCTCTGATTGCCAGGCTGGAACCTAGAGCAAGGGAATGAGACCAAGTGGTTCAAGTACTTTGCCAGATCCTGTCATAATTTGCAATTTGGACATTCTGTTCATCATCGTGCAATCTTTTGCCTTAGTTTTGTTCTTTTAATTGTTACATTAAAATATTGCTTATCTTAGTTTCTGAGTGTTTTTGATGGGGGCACCCCCTTATGTTTTGCACCTGAAGTGAATGCTTCTCTTGCCTTATTCTAGTCAGGGTTCTGCCTCCCAACAAATGCATTCTCCTCTTCAACAACCTCCTGGAGACCAACACCATCCCTGGGCATATCAGTATGCCTTGAAAAGGCTTCTGGGTATCTAATAAAGCCTTGCTGCAGAAAAGGAAGACAGTAAACTCAAATTGTGGTATTTGTATAAAAGGACCCTTTAGATCAGGGATGGGGAATGTCTGGCCCACGGACAACTGCAGTTCCAGCCATCATATTGTTGTTTAGTGCTGTCCAGTCGGTCCATACTCATAGTGATCCTGTTTCCAATAGGCAACTTGTGAGTTTGAACCAACAACCTGTGGTTCAAAGTGATCTTGTGGTGCAGTGCATTATCCCACAGTGCTGTACCAGGACTCCACACATCACATTGTTAGGGGTGGGGTAATTAAATGTTTGACCAAATATAACAGGCTTATTTTATTTGTTTATTTATTTCTTGATTTAGCATTGCTTTATTTTTTGGTATTTTTTAAAAGTTTTTATTGTGAATTGAGTGAAAGTTTACAGGGAAGATCATCAGTTTTACATTCAACAAATCATATTCTTTGTTTTATTACAATGATTATAATCCCCTCCATGCACCATCAATTAACAGTATTTTTCTCTATTCATTTTAGCTCCTTTTTTTCTTTATTTTTTTAAACACTCAGGCATATATAATAATTCACACCACCAAAAGGCACATTCTGCAAGTCTGCTTCCTGGTTGCCAGCTTTTAGTCCTTCTCTTTCCATGAATCTAGAGTCCTCAGGGGCTCCCTTTCTCCATGTACCCATTTCTGCCTCCATCTCTGGTGTGGCTGCTTCTCTGGATAAGGTCCCACAATCCACTTGTGCTCTTCTCCCTTGATGGTCTTAGGGTCCTCTGTTTCTGGACTGACTGTAAGATTAGCTACCCCCCACCCCCCCAGTTTTTGTTACAAAACTTCTACCTTTACAATTGTGACAGTTGCAATTAGTCATGATAACAAGTATTCACTATTGAATCATAAGAATCATATCCCCATCTCTTTTTACCAGACCCATTAAGACAGGATGAAAACTATTCAGTGGGGACTGTCTTCCCCCACACACTCTTAAACTAAACTCCCTCTTGAAACCCTGTAAACCAGTCACTTTGTGCTGTTATCTCCCTCTCATTTTAGATAGCCAATGTCTAAGTTGCCCATCAATATCTACCCTGTGTATAGAGGGGATAGCATTGCTACTTGATGTAAAGACTCCTTCCCTCTCTGTTGGTATTTTGAGCTACTACCTCCATGAGTATCATGTTCATCAAATTGTAGCAATTTACCCTCATTTCCCTTATCAAAAATTGTGTGTGTGTTTTGTTTTGGTTTGTTTTCTTCCTCTAGTCAAGTTCTGATTGTCAAGCCATCGAGGCTAGGTCTAATGTGTACTATCTGCAAGTTTGGGTGTTCTTATGCGTCTCCCCTCACTTCATATCAGCTGGATGCTTCACTCTCAGCTCTAACCTTCCATGCCTATGTCCTTGTCCATGGGCTCATGTGTCCCCAGGTCTCACCACACTTTGGACCAAGCAGCCCTTCCTCTTCTCTTTCTCACCTCCAGGTCAACGGGAGTCTATGGAACATGGTTGAATTCAGCCCATTTCTTCATTGCTTCCTTTCTCTCTCTTCCACTCACCACTAGACCAATGTGCTCACCAGCAAGCTTACCTATGTGCTCATGTACTCCCTTTGAGTTTCAGTCTTAGAGGGGAATTTGTCCTGAAGGGACTTGACTGCTTGCCTTGATGGCTTCCTGGCGAACAACTTGTTTATTCTTGTAGTAGCTAATCAAACTGTCAGTTTTGTTTTGGGTTTTTCCTGTGGCTCTTTCTTTGAAGATGTATCTTCTGTAACTCTAGCTGTTGCAGGTGGGTCTGCTTGTCCTTTCTAGTGGGAATGTCCAACCTCAGAAGGTTCTGGGTGGGGCTCAGGATTCCTCCTAAGGTCCTATACAATGCAAAGGCTTCACAAGAGGCCTATTTCATTGGGCAAGTTGTAGAACCCCTTTTAAGTATTCCAATCAGTTGAGGCTGAAGCTGGGCTTACAAGGTTTCTGTAATCATGTTTCCTGACATTCCTTTCTATCCCACTCAAATGTCTATTTTACAGTAGTAGGCAAGAGAGACCAACATTCATAAGACAGTCAAGCATCATAGTATTATTTCCTCTCTTCAGACTATGCCTTGATCTCTGTACCATAGAGCCCAGTTGTTCCAAGGTTGAGCATGCATCACTATTTACCTCTGTCTCATTTAGCCTATGCAAACCTGTCTCATTGTTCCCCTATCTACCTTGTTCTTCCACCCCCTCACCCTTCTTATGTATTGCTCTCCCCAGCACCCAAAGTATGATGTGTTTCCCCCCTACCCTGTGCTCTACTGTCACCTTCCTTCGCCTCTCCTAAGCCCCCTCACCTCACCTCCACCAGTAACCAACAAAGTTTTTTTTTTTTTTCTTTCCCCTTTTAGTATGGGTATATTTTGTTAAGCTTTTACACTAATGGTCTTATGCAATATTTGCCCTTTTGTAACTGACTCATTTCACTCAGCATAATGTCCTCCAGGTTCATCCATGTTATGTGGTGGCTTACAGCTTCCTTGTTATTCTTCAAGGTAGCATAACAGTCCATTGGGTGTATGTACTCAAGTTTGTTTATCCATTCTTCCATTGATGGGCACTTAGGCAGTCTCCATCTTTTTGCTAATGTGAATAGTGAGCAGGCTTATTTTTAAGATGATAACTTTGTATTGCCTGTGAATGATATTATTAATTTTGGCAGAAACATGGCTCTCTATCCCTGCTTTAGATAGTTACATGTTGTACAGGTGTCTCCGGTCATTTTCAGTGTTTCTAAATAAGGTGTGTCAATTGGGTTGTAAATGTTTTCACATGAGGCTGGGAGCCTTTAATTTAAGTATACCCACTTCTTGCACTTTCTACCTCGCTTAAAGAGACTGGGAAGGAAGAGGAAGTGACAAAGACAGAACAGGGATAGAAATGAGAACACTGACACAGTCTGGAAGCATCTGCTAGGGCTGAAGTTTGTGCTCTTTGCTTGGTGCATGGAAAGGTTTGCTTGTACAGTTCACAGACTTATGTTATAATATGAGTCATCTAGTAGCATGAGCTAAATTATGAGTTGAGAATTTAAAGTTTCCTTAGGACTCACTTTGGTACAGTTGAAAGGATATTAACAATCAGCCTTGATCATAATCTGGGTTGCTGGTCAGTCACTTCATCTTCTCAGATTAAATTGCTCTTTTAGGGTTTGTATGTGTGTGTAGGGCATTAGACTCAGTGTCATATTATCTGTGTTTGAAACCCACTTCTTTCCTTGTTTTCTGTGTGAATTGGACCCTTTCACTCAACCTCATTTATAAAATGATGGTAATCATTACATTTAACAGGTGGCTGTGATCAGTATGTAGCATGTGGAATAGCTGACATGCTATAACATGATGGGTGCTCCAAAAATGTGTGATAAAAAAAAAAAAAGTGTGATCATGACAATGTATAAACTATATCAAGAGTTGTTTCCACAGTTCAAATTGAATTTTCTAAAGTGATGAATTTAGACAGCTATATTTAGATTCCTATTGTTGTTGTTGTTAAATGCTACCAAGCTGGTTCCAATTCATAGTATCCCTGTATAGGGTTTCCAAGGAGCAGCTGGTGAGTTTGAACCATCAATCTTGCATCTTAAGTCCTTATCTTCTGGTGCCATACCAGGACTCCTAGATTCCTACTACTCATTCTTAATTATATACAATATCTAAAACCTTAATAATACTTACCTTGTACTTGTAAATATTAGAGATAATATATCTAATTCATCTAACACCATAGAATACCCTAGGGTTTCTGGACAAGGACATTGTCACTAGAACAATGGATTCAATGATGTAATTTATTCAAATTCAGCCTCAATCTCAAACCAATATAATGTTTAAGAAATATATATAAATCATTAACTTGTATAAAGTAGACCCCTCAGTTACCCTGCCAAAAATATCATTAAAAAAGAAAACACAACTAAATATAAAACCCAAAATAATTATTTTCTAATCTTTAATTTGTGATTACATAAATTTGTAATATATATGTATTTTTAATCTTAAAGGTACTAAATCAAACTTCTCGACTTGAAATACAACTGCTGGAGAACTCATTATCAACATACAAGCTAGAGAAGCAACTTCTTCAACAGACAAATGAAATCCTAAAAATTCACGAGAAAAACAGGTGAGAATGGTTGTATCCCCAAAATATTAGATGTACATGTTTCTATTGTCTATCTATCTATCTATCTATCTATCTATCTATCTATCTATCTATCTATCTATCTATCTATCTGTTTGTCATCTGTCTACTGCACTACTCTATCAGTTAAAAAGTAAAGGTTCAAATAATTTACAAAAAAAGGCATACTAAGCCAAATTTATTTTTGATACAAAAAGAAAGAAGTGTTACAGGTGAACACAGCAAATACATTAACAATAAAATTTATGCTATTGCACACACTTCCAAAATATTTGCTTTTTTATAGCATTTAGCACTAATTTCTTTAATATTCAAATTCTGCATCCACTAAAATGATTTGATTATATAATTAGACACAAATATTGACAATTTTCAAATGAATCAAAATTGATAGCAGCATGGAAGTGTCTGTAGGAAACACTGCATCGTGTTTACCCTTGAGCTCTATCTCCAAAGATGAAAAATGATAAAATTCTGATACTAGAGAGAAGTAACATTTCTAATTTTCAAGAAAATTATTTACCTACATATAAATCTGGCTCCAGAGTTCTTGTTGTTTTTTCTCATTTAAAATAATTTTCACTGAACATAATACTGTTCAGCTGAACAAAAACCTGTGTAGCTGTAGAGTTGCCATAATGCCAATGTATTTTATATAAATTATGGGACGTGGCAGGTAAGTGCGTTGGGACTTAGCGATATGACAGGTTTTGCCTTATCGTAAAGGATAGGCATTTAATTAAAGTCATTTATGTTCGCAGTACTTATACTAGAGTTGCTACCATATTCCAAATTAGGAAGTTACCTAAAAGGATTGCTGGTTCTCCAAGATTTTATTTTGCCAGTGAGAGAACAGAGACTTGGGAAAAGAAAGTTAACTGTACAAGATTAACTGCTTGCAAGTGGTGGAACAGAGAATGGAACCAGGTTATTGGCTCCTAATCCTGCTCTCTCCACAAAAGCACATGGTCTGTCAATACTGTCTGCATTCTAGAAGGACTTCCCAACTTCATGCTAAAAGTAGAATATACTGCTACCGATTACAATGAAATTTTTACCTGACTAATGATTTAGAGTGTAAAAAGGACCACTTATGCTCTATGACTTGCACCTTCTCAGTTTTACATTTAATTATTTTTTACTATGTCTTGGAGTAAACTATGTAACTATAAATAAACTGGGAAGGAATTGATTCCAAACTGGTCACATGATGAAATGTTATGAAATTGAGAATCTTGTTGAACAGCACCATATATGCTACTGAAGTTTCACAATAACCAGACACGTTTTACAGGTGTAATTTGCTTCAGCCACCCTTGCCATAGGGTTTCCTACCCTGTGCTTTAACTTGTCACAAAAACTGAACTCTATTCACTGTCACATATTTTGCAGTGCTCCACCCACTAGCTGTTCCTTGGAAACCCTGGAAAGGCTCACTATGAGTTGGAATAAACTGACAATAACAACATAGGGAAAGGTTTCTCTAGATATCTTTAATAAGTAAAACAATGTCAAACTTCCTTTATTTTTCTAACTTGTTATTTGTTTAGACAAGTATATGAATTGCATGTTTGTTATAGAAAAGGATAAACAAAATAAAAAGAAAAAATTAAATTGTAATTTTATCACCCAGAGAGATAAAATTATAATTTAATTGTAATTACTGCACATTAAGTATGCATAAATTTATTTTTCACAAAAAGTTGTTCATACTGTGAGGACACTTCAAATCATTCATGAAAAAATGGAAAAAAATATAGTGCAAATTTTCAACTAACATTTTTAAAGCCCTCTCATATATATACATTTAAATGGATCCACAGACAATACTCATGGAAGTAGCAATCAAGAAATCAGTGATGTATTAGGTAAATCTGCTGCATAAAACCTTTTTAAAGTAGTAAAGAGCAAAGATACCAGTTTGAAGACTAAAGCATGCCTGACCCAAGTCGTGGTATTTTCTATCACTTCATGTGAATGTGAAAGTTGGACAATGAATAGAAAGACTGTACAAAAATTGCTGCGTTAGGGTTATGGTGTTGGAGAAGAGTAATAAAAGTACCATGGAATACTGAAAGAACCAATAAGTCTGTGCCGAAAGAAGTACATCCAGACTGTTCCTTAGAAGTCAGGATAAGACTCCGTCTCTTATACTTCAGACATGTTATTAGGAGTGAAAAGTTTTTAGGGAAGGACGGCATACTTGGTAAAGTGGAGGATATGCGAAAAAGAGCAAGACCCCAATGAAATGGATTGGCACAGTGGCAGAAGCAATGGACTCAAGCATATAAAACATTCTGAGGATAGTGTGGAACTGGGCAATGTTTCGTTCTGTTGTGCATAGGGTCTCAATGAGTCAAAGCCAACTCAACAGCAACTAAAAACACTACCTGCTGTTTTGAAGACAGTTATCTTTTCATACCAATAAATCTCTCTGTAAGAGAATATAATTTATAATGAATCCTGGTTACTCTGGCATAAGATGTTGGGCTATTAACCATAAGGTTGGCAGTTCAAACCCACCAGCTGCTCCAGGGAAGAAAAATGAGCCTGTCTGCTTCTATAAAGATTTACATTTTCAGAAAGCCTATACAAGGTCAGTATGAGTGAGGATCTGCTTAATAACACTGGTTTTTGTGGGTTTCACATCATTTATAATAACTGCATGGTATTTAATGTTGTGGAAATGACCTATAGTGAATTATTAAATGTCTCTTCTAGCCATAGTCTTTGTAAACTACCACCAAAAGGCATTGTCCTGGTAGGTCTGGATAAGAAGGTGGAGGGAGATGCTGATGTGTTATATGATTCACTTGTGAGTGATTGTAACAAAATCCTGATTGCTAACACTTGGAAATCTAATTAATTTTACGATCCTGTTGGGTTTAAAATGAGCTCTTTCCAAAGCAGGTGGGGGGCAAGTCTCATGACCACCAAAGACGAGTCAGGAGTGGAGTGTGTCTTTTGAATCCAGAGATACCTGAGCTTTAACCCTTATCCACCCAGCGACAGAAAGCTGGGAAACCAGAGGAGCAGCAGTGGAGCAGCTGCAGAACCAAGAGTCAGAACAAGAGGCCAAATGGTGGGCTTCCCAGCCGATGGAGCCAGTGAAGCTGAGAGAATTTGGGTAGGAAGCTTATTTGTATAGTGGGGTATCTCCTGGCACTTAATTGGTGAACTGGATGTGCTGACTCCCGGAGCTAGAGCCATGTGTCTCCAGGCTGATGGTGGAAGTGTATACTCTGTGAGCATTTATCAATAACCCTAAGAAAGGTTTGTTACGTTAGATGGGCAGAAAGAGGTCTGCCTATGGGCATGGTTCAGGAGAGGCTGTGCTGACTGGAAGAGCAGTTCCCTGAGCCTTTCTGACCCTGAATTCTAACCTGAAAACTTCCCTAATCAACCCAAAATGTTGTCTAAGTTCTGTGTGGTTATTGTAACAAATTATAAAACCCAACTGAGGAGCAGAGAGTGTCATGGAGTAAGTGGTTGATGTCATTTTTTTGTACTAGGTTTCGTTTTTTGTTTTTACCACATAAGACTTTTAAAAACTGGCCAGCATAAATTTGTGTTTTCAGTTATTCCCTCCTGATAAGTGTAATATCTCTTGGTCTGCATCTGACACATTAGCTGTCAGGGTATCACAGAATAAGCTGGGTGGCCAGTAAGGGCTTGTCCTTCAATACAAAAGCAAATTCTGTTCATAAGGGTCTATCTCTGTCTTTTGCTTGCTCTCTTTTATTCTTTCTCTCTAACTTTCCCTCATTCTGTTCTTTTTCTTCCTTCCTTTTAAAAACTACTTTATTTTATTTTGTTGTTGCTGTAAAAACAAACAGCAATTTCAACAATTTTTACATGCAAAATTGAGTGACATTAGCTTCTTCAACTTGTGAAACCATTCTCACACACCTTTTCCAAATTGTTCCTCATTAACATGAGGAATCCTGGTGTGGTGCTTATACGCTGGACTACAAGTTCGGATTGAACCACAAGGTCGGCGGTTCAATCACCAGCTGTTCTTCAGGAACCCTTTACAGGGATGCTATGAGTCAGAATTGACTCAACAGTACTTAACAACAACAATATTAACATTAACTCACTGCTTGCTACAGTTTCTATCTAACCTTTCAAGTTGCTGTTATCAGTTTGATCCCATATAGATATTCACTCCCTCATATCCAAATTCTAGATCATTTAGGATTTTTTTTTTTTATCTGTAAATCATGATTTTTAAGATGGTATCTGTTATCTTTTCCACTAAGAAATTCTCACTGTAAAATGTTACTTTAAAAGGCAAATTGCATAAACGGTGTTCTCCTTTCACATCAGTAAACAGGGTTGTTGTTAACTTCCAGTGAGTGAATTCTTAATGCCTAGCAACCCTATATAGGGTTTCTGAGGAGCATCTGGTGGGTGTGAACTGCCGACCTTTATGTTGGTAGTCCAGTGCTTATCCTCCAGCACCACATCAGGAACTAGGTTGTTATTAGTATAGCTGCACTATAAGTCAAATAGACTAGAAGCTGGAGTGACACATGGTTAAGAGTTTGGTTGATAGCCAACAGACTTCAAACCTGTTCACCAACTCCATAGGAGGAGCACCTGGTGATCTGTTCCCATAAAGATTGTTGTTGTGCTGGTTACATACCATCGAGTCAGTTCCTACTCATAGCGGCCCTGTATAGGGTTTCCGAGAAGCAGCTGATAAGCCTGAACTGCCAACCTTGCAATCCAGTTCATTAACCCACAATGCCACACATCAACACCACTCCATAAAGATTACAGCCCTGAAAGCCATATGGAACAGTTCTAGAAGAGTCCAAATGGGCTCATGACTCAAGAGCATCTAGCAACAGCTGATCAAATATGTGTATGTCCGTTGTGTCACAGACTCTCAGAGGATTCTGAAGATGAATCCCAAGCAGATATACAGCTTGCTTACTGTTGCTAAAGTTTTTCCCTCATTGAAATCTAATTTCTAA